GAAACAAGAAGATCAATATCCTTATAAAACTTATATTTATATAATATACATTGAAATAATTTAAATGAACGTTATAATTAGAATGTTTACTATTTTATTAGATTTCAGACGATTCACGTACTTGCAGGTTACTTACCAAGTTACATACAATTAATCGCTATTGGTGTCTGTAGACTAATAAGACCTTTTTGTAATTACTTGGATAATCTTTTGAATGATTTGGTATTTATCTATGCTTCTTTGTGCATATATAACAAACTATTATTATCTATGATAATGCAAATAGTGCTACAAGTTATGGCTTATAAACCATATATCTAGGTTATTTTCCATAAATAAAAATGAGCATGAAAAGCTTTTTCTTATAAACAAGAGTTGGATAGAAGCCAATGAAACCACTTTCATTTTCATAAATAATTCTAGAAATGTTTTGTAATGTTTGTCATGAAATTTCTCTTATTGGAAATTCAGTTCTACCTCGATTAATATACCACACAAATATGAGTCTAAAGTTGTTTGTTTGAGCTCTGTCTCTATTACATTTAATTATTACATTGTGAAATACAATCATTATGTATGTAAATGATTGTATTTCACAAGGACATTTACATTTTACATTTTTGGTTTTTTAAATCTTCGATAAAGTTATGTTATCAGAGCTAAAATTAACTGACATATGGCTATATGCCAAAGAAATGCAATATTTTCATGCATTTCCCTTATTACTCATAAGTATAATAATAATGTATGAAAAATGATTTCAGTTAAGTACATAATGCTGAAAATTTGGCATAGAATTGTTGAATTTGTATCTTTTTTCATTGAATTCAATGCGGTTTTATGTATTTGGATATGTGCCATTGAGAATGATAATATCATTAATCAATAAAGAAGTGGGTCACATTTTATTAGCATATAAACTAGCACATTCAACGTTTGTTTATATTCATGAAACAAATGGAAATAATGTTTAGTCTTTTAGTCTAGAGAGCATTGACAAAATGTGTACCTCGGATTAGGAGAGCGAATTTAAAATTTAAACAGTCTGAAGCAATTTCCCTGGATCAAGGAGCGCAATATTCCACTGCACTTCTGTCAATAAAGAAAAGAAGTATCGGAGTTTATTAGATTCCCAGACAAACAAGACCATCTTCCTACATCGCGTATTATTATGTTAAGTAGACTGAACGTATTATTTTAGAGAGAGAGGATATATCAAATATCGTGTCTACTTCGAGCGCTGTTTCTCTTTCCTCTCGGATGTGTGTATATATTTTTTTTATAGTTTTCCGTACATGTATTTTTTTTTTCGTTACATAACATGATTTAGTACTTAGAGCGGCTCACGGTAGAAAAGTTCTTCCAGGAGAATATGGAAATTCGCTGCGTGTTTACCCCTATATCGCTTTAGATTTTTTGTTGTTTCTTTTTTCACAAACTCAACTAATTTTAGCACAAACCGATTCATGATAAACTAAGAACAAAATCTGAATATAAACATCCTCTTTTTTTACATAAAGAGCGTCACTTGGGTTTGCTTGGGTCATTACGTAAAAAAATGGGAAGGGATAAGTTTTGTATGAGATAAACTTTTAAGAGTAAAGTCCTTGCGGCTTTTAAGCGTCGAAGTCTCGTAATGAATGGCAACTCAATTTTTGGTTAATATTAGCTTAAAATATTATATTATATATTCATTTCGTTAAAAGCTTTACGTCCAATTTGCATAAAATTGAATCTGCAAAAGGTTTAGTAAATAATTAATGTAAAATATCTCACAACGAAAACGCGAATTAATTACACAACCGTTTTTAATTAAAAGGTAACATAAAACAATCATTATAATTATCCTAATTTATAATACGAATCAGCTTTATTAAATTGCTATTGTATCGAATTCGATGCATACAAATTTTAAATTATTAGTAATGCAATTTGGTCCATTATCTACAGCATCAATATTCAATTAAATTGATGATTCGTTTAAAAACATTTGTTTTATTTTTTTGTATGTGAATTAGGGTATCACACTTTTTATAAGCTTATGTTTTTATAAACGACGTACATTGCAGAATGTTTTTGAAGGGTATCCGAATGAGGGGGGAAAATATTTACCGAGGTAGAAAAATATTTGAAGTAACGTTCAAACATTGTTGATACCCTGTCAAAATTCTAATTATTTTCAGGTGTATAAAATAACATTTTCCAATTTACTCTTTGATATACTTTTTTTTGTAGAATTTCATAATCAATTTTGAGTATAAAAATGTAAAAGTTATTTTTTGTTATGAAAATTAGTAATATATAATTATATTATATATTCCTATTATTCAATTATAGATTTTTAAAAGAGAAGTTTTGGTTCTAATCTATTTTATAAAATTTTTCTTAGAACATTTTGTTAGATATTGGCAATTGGTAATTATTAATAAGTTGTTGAATCCCAATGGTAAATCCACTTGTATATATTGCTTCATTCGCTGGATTGTTAAAATATTGTCCTGTCCCGGGATAAAAAGTCTCTGGAATATTATATGCAAAATTCTTAATTAATTTGATTGTACAAATTGAGAAGTCAACTATACAAGTATTGATACAAGTAACTAAGAGTCATATTTTCCTCTTAAGTTAATAATAGGAAGTAAGTGTTCTTCCCAACTAATACTGTCTTCACACTTCAATCCTCTAACTAAGACTATCTTATATAATACAAAAATGTATCAATTTAAAAAAAGGGAAGTATTATTTCGTGGAAAGGAAATTAGTTTTGACTATGTGGAAGATACAACCATTTCTTTATCTAAGTTTTATAATCCTACCAAAATAGAAGTGGCGGACGAGGGTTGTTGAGTGTTGATAAAATTGTCACAAATATACGATATAATGTCTAACCGTTCTTCTAAATAAACACATATATGTATCCGTTTGTATATTTGATACAAAGTGCAATATGCTTTGTAATAATTAAGAAGAATGTGGTAGGTCTAAGGAGTATACATATTAATTTTACAATAGATGATAATAAAATGGTAGTATTGTCAAGAAGATTGACAACCAATATGTTTGCATGTCTTTGTAGACTATTTTTGTATTGGTTACTGGTTCTTTTTGAAGATCCTTTGTGAATTATCCTGTTCGTAATGTAGCATGATACATCAATGATCTTTGTTAGCCTCTGGAATTCGACTGGAATATTTGTATATCAATGTTAGTCCTGCTGCTGAATCCCCGCAACTAATAAATCAAAGCAGGTTTTAAAATTTACCTCAGAGATCAGCAATTTGTTTTCTTTCAGTATTGTCATTTTAACAGATATACTAAAAAAACATATAACGTTGAATATAATTTCATTGTGAATTAATTTGTAAACATCTTTTTATATACATTTATTCAAATTGTTCGTTAACTGACAAAATTCTGTTATGCTTAATTGAATTAAAGTTGTGTCAGATTTATAACTTTTCATTCATTCATTCATATATAATGGCATAATCCTTTGGAGTAATTAATTTCAAAAGTAAATTAAAAAATATATTTATACTGATCCGGATTAAGAGAAATTTTATTGGTGGTGCAAAGGGATTGTTATCCGGTGAATGCCTGCCATTGTTTGCGTGCTCTCCTTCTGATAAGGTTCCTGATGAGTTCCGTTCGGATGCGAGAGTCCCACTTTCGCGGTGATCAGAACAATTCCACATTCAGCTGAATCGACACAATCCGAACCCACACAAGACTTAATTGTTACCGCGAAATTGGAAAATTCGATTTTCTTTGCATCCAATTTACATCGAATATTACGTCGGCTCCCGTCGGCAATCCCATCAAACATCAATTTCTTGATTATTCGCTAATTACGTGACCGAACGCCGTTCCTGGAATAAAGGAACGGTTTTGTTCACTTTACACAAAAATATAGAATGCGAAGTGCAGTTTTTCTGTTTGAAGTACTATTAACCATAAGAACAATTTGGATTAGTAAAAAATTGATGAGAAGATTAGTATATTGTTTTGTTAGAAGGTTTTCCATTAATAGACTATTTCTAATATGATTATTCTAGAATAGCAGATTAATGAATACATATGTTAAAATTAGTATATTTTTTTGTTAGAAGCTTTTTCATTACAAGACTATTAAAAGTATAGTAAGAAAATCATAGATAATTGAAAGAAAAGTAATATTTCTGTTAGAAGTTTTTTTCAAAAAGTTGTTTAAAAATTGGAGATAAATCAAAATAAACTTAAGAACATAAGACTACACCTAGAAGACTTCAGAAAATTGAAATTGAAAGAAAAGTAATATTTTTGTTAGAAGTTTTTTTTTTCAAAAAGTTGTTTAAAAATTGTAGATAAATCAAAATAAACTTAAGAACATAAGACTACACCTAGAAGACTTCAGAAAATTGTAGATGAATGAAAAATAACGCTTTCCTTTCAATGATTCTTGTATGAATGTGTTTTATCTTAAGATTTGTTTTAAAATTTGAGTTGACAAAACACGTACGCATATTCAAGTATTAACACAAACACACATTGCTTAACTTTCGTAATCTGTGTAACATCAAGCAGAATCAAGAAAAATAAAAATAAGACAACAATTTATGCATTGAAAAGAAGAGTGAACACAAAAAGAACACGAAAGAAATGATATTAATCCTGGGAGGGTGCTTTTCTTGTCCTCCCTCGTTGTTTTCTGGTGGTCCTTTTTCACTGCGGACAGAAAGAAAAATAGTCGAGGGTCCGCGTTTACTTATGCAACGGAAATGTTTGCGTTTTCTTCCAGCCCTGTTTCGCAATTAATTCCGAGCGAAAAAGGCGCAACAATGAAACACTGCATCCCTTAATTTCCTAAACCCGCTGCTCCGTTGATAACGCAATTAATAATATTGCGGAAACGCCGTATTTTACGGATTTTTTTCTCTCTCTCTCTAACGCCGTTCTCCATTCTTCTTGCTTCATTTTTTTTTGTATTATTTTGTCCTTACACACGCCCTTCTGTGTTGCAGGAGGAAAACGTCAACGGCACTGCCATCAATTCCCATCTGTTCCGTTGAGAAACCCGGTAAGTCCATTAATTTGCTTAAATTAAAAACTGCTGGTGATAGCTTATTAATGTAATTATCTGCGCTCCACGGCATAATCACTATTTCATTCGTCCGTCGACCTGGGTTTAATTAATTTAATGGAATTAAACGATATTACATACATATTTTTTTTTATTTCATAATTGCATTTGATTACATTATAATTATTCAAAAAAATATTATAATTATTGTAAATGTTATAGCACCAAACAATTTTAGCTCAATAAACATATATTTTAACGTAAATTATGAATAAATACTAAGAAAATAAATTTAATGAAAACGTTTTTAAATTGTTTTTAATTTTAGTAGAATAAGCACATTAGAAAATAAAGTAAAATGGAAGTACAATATTTTATTTTATACAGGCTATTTAAGCCTTATACTTTTATTACGTCTTTGTCATCTCTTATCACGTCTTTGTCACTGAAGAGATATTAAGAAATAATTATAAACTTTTTATGCAATCAATGCTAAAATCATATTTATCAATTTTCATGCGGTTTTAAACTCTTAGATTAGTACGGTTTCAAATAGTGCGGGTTATTGAAAGAACAGTTTACCCGCACTATACTTATCATCATAATTCTAATGACTATTATACAAAAATAGATAGGAATATTATTTTCTGCAATATTTTAAAATGCTATAAATAAATATATCTGTATTATTATATTCATTTTTAAAAAATTAAACAAATTTAATCAATTATTGTAAATATACATAATTTCGAACTAACAAATTCGCCGCCAGCTATTGTAAAAACGTAAGAGGAGAACAACTGAAATTCTAGTTCAGAATACTTTACTAACTCTCGCAACTCTCAATTATAATCTTAATACAACTTACAAATTCTTATGATGAATAGGACTTTGAAACTTCACCAGAAAATCAAATAACATACATACATAAAACGATACCAATTACATCATTGATCGTAAATCAAATTCTTAATTATTTTTGTCTAATTTCTTCAATTTATTAGAAGACATTTCGCATATTTCAAGTAATCGCCAATATCTTGAAATCGGAATAATCGAAGGAAAGCAAAGATTATTTACTAATAAAAAAAAATATTTTTTTGTTATAAATTTTTAGAATTTATTTGAATTTTGCTGATTTTAGTTTGTTTTGAAATATTCAAAATTTTAATTTAATTTAAATTAATTCATTAATCCGTACTAATTGAAACCGCACTATGTAAGGTACATCTGTATTATGTGTATAATACAACATAATTCCTTCTCAAATTTTTTCATTTCATAGAAGATGTCAACTTATGCTTAATACAACACTTTTGTAGTGTACCTACTAATAGGATAAAGTAATAATGTAATCAACAATTATATTTAGACATCTTTGAATCTTATTTATCTTCGTGTAAATGAATTATAAACTTATTACTTTCCAAAAAAATAACACATTCAGATTGGTGCATCACTTAAAAGTATTGTTACTTAAAGTAGTCTCTATTGTTACATATTTTCCTACTTAATATACTTCAATACACAATTACTTCATAATAAAAAAAAACTATGATCAAAGTTTTTCTATAAGTTAAAGTATATAAAACAAATCCATAACATCGTGCTTTTAAAATTATAATTCCATAATTTTAAATTTACTTATATTCTGATTAGTGCAATTAAGTACGAAATTAAAACTATAGAGTTTATGTAATTAGAACTGAACTTTTTTTTTACACTTCCAACAATCTATTAATAAGTTTAATTAAAATAACAGCAATAATCATACTTGAAAGTTGAAATATTCATTCATTATTTTTTCGCTTTATTATTCCATAATTCGCTATTTACTTTAATTAAATTCGGATTACAGTAAATACATAGTTTATAATACTTAATAGAGGAAACTGCGACCGTGGGGTTTGCTTTAATGCGCACCCTGTGCACACTCTGCGACCTGAATTATTCAAAAGGCCTAACAACTTCTCGACTTATATTGTCTCCATTCATAGTGGATTCATTAAAAAGTTCCGCGGTTACGGTTCTTTTACTTTGGCTTTGTGATCTTCGCGGAAGGCAAAAAAAAATTGAAGCATGAAACAAACAAATATACACACGACTTGTACAATAAAGTAAAATACACAACAGTAGAACGGGGTTAATCAAAATCCTGCATACAATCGGCGCGAATTCTCTTCTCGGATGAATCTGGAATCAAGATGAATATCTTCATTATTCGCAATTATTATTGTTTTGTTTAAATCTTTGTTTCATTTGAAGGATTTATTTTTGTATGCGAAATAGGACGTTTCGCGTTGAATATTTCATGCACGTCGCACTGTGAAACACATTTATACATGCTGGTACAAACATAGTTGGAAATTAAAAAAAATGTAAATAAATAATTTGATACGACTCGGTTTGTTGCAAATAATTTAATATACTTGGATGCACAATATCTTTTTATTATTACTTTTTTTTCAATATTCAAATGCGAATGTTTATTTTCAGTTTCAAATTTGAAATGTAGCGTGAATGAATTTATACATGAGATCCTATACATACATTATACATATTTAATCAGCTGAAAATAAATTCAGTAATTTCAGTAAAAAAATGATATATTTTAGTTATGTTTTAATTGTTATAGTTTTTAATTTCTTGAATTCAATTGTTTATTATTGTCAGAATATGCTTGGATACATAATAACTTTTTAAAAATGTTACTGAAAATGTTTAGTATTTTCAGTTTAATATAATATAATAAAAATGATTTTCTATTTGTGTTTTTCAAATATTGTCGACCGGTGATATTAATTTCACAATGGAGATTTTGCGGTAGTTAAATACAGGATCAAGTGTACTTAGCTCACACACGAAATGCAATCTACCTAATAGTATTACGGAACGATGAAAGCGACGTTGAAGAGCAACATGTAATGATACAATCCTTTAGTTAATTAATTTAGGAGAGAGAGAGAGAAAAATAGAGGAGAGGATGAAGCAGAGGAGCGAGTCAAGAACTTTCGGTAATTGGAATTAAAATAATTTTCAAAGGGATACGTTCTACCATGATGAAGATGTTTTACCGACGAAAGAAGAAATCCCATTTGAAAAACGAACGAAACTTTTTATTTGCGCAGACATTAGTATTCCTCTCGTTGAGCTGTTTCCAGATTAATCAGGATAAATAAGAAAACGGAATGAGAAAGAACAACGTAAATAATAAAAAAAAAACATGGAAAGGCCGTTAATTACAGCTTGCTCCAATTTTAATTGCCTCGATATTTCTTTAAACTTTAAACGAAAAATTTAAATTTTTCATTCATGTATTTAAAATCATTGTTCAATTATTCTCATCCAGTTTATAAATAACATAAAATAATAATAAGACATAAGAAATATAAAAAATATTTTTTTATATTTCTTTATATTTTAAGATAGAAGAAAAGTGAAAAGAAACTGCTTCAAATTTGGATACACTTATTTAAGCAACAATTTTTTTAAATAGGTGTATCTAAATTTGAAGCACTTTATTTCCACTCTTTATTTCTGTCATTTAGTATAATTGAAATTTGAAACCAGAAGAAAAGTGTAGACAAATTTCCTAAAATTTGGATTAATCTTTTTCAAATTATTCTAGATTTATTCTCATCCAGCCTGCAAATACAACAAAGAAAATATTAAAACACTCGAGTTTCAATGAATGAATGAAAGAAGTTCTATTATTTCGCTAAATTATATCTAAACCTCTTTAAACTCATAAGAAATGTAAAACTAAATATCTTCAGATTTGTATTCTTCTATTTGAAATCATTGCTGATTTAATGTCATCCAGATAACGCAACAAGAGAAGAGATATAAAAAAAAACAATGAAGAAACGAGTAACGTTAATTTAAATTTATTTGCGAACTTAACTGTTTTTTTATTCAAATTCGTTCGTATAAATTCTACCTTTCGAAAAAAACGAGCGAAAAAATGTAGCCTCCATCTATACATATTACATAAGCTTGCAACTTGATATTCAACGCGACTGAGCGTGCAGCAACTACAATTTTATACATTCTTTTCTGTCCAAATATACGTGCGTTTAAACGATTGAAGCTTTTCAATAAATGACAATTTTCGGAAATATTTCATTGTCTATAATAGTTATAGTTTAATATGTAATCAATATATTAAATTTTGTTTTTTTTAAATTTTTAACTAGTAAAAGTTAGCTAATGAAAATATCGAATATTTCATTTTTTTCTACAATATTTTGATTATCTTTGTATAAATTTAATGTAGATTCAATGACAGATTAGTGACGTCTTTTTGTATTAAGTTTGATAAGCTGATATCAAGATTATCCTAAGATTATCATTGAATTTCAAACAGTTTCTTTTGATAAATGTTTATAGAATTTTCATTTGGAAAAACTCATTTACGTTGTTTCTGTTAATTCAAATATGTTGAAATTCAATTGGTATTATTTTAGACTTTTCTCATTAACAATTTCTTTCACTAACGAGTTTTTAAGTAAACACCAATGGTTGTGATCCTGAAATTTATGAAATATAAATGATACATGATATATACGTTTTTTATTGATACACTTACAACAATGATGTTGTTCCTGCACTATGTTTGATATGATACATGGTTACCATGGAAACCCATAACAGTTAAAGAGACAGTTATAAATGGAATCTGACATTTAGTCTGTCAATTATAATATTTTAATTTCATATGTGCAGTGTGCATTAAATGACGATATATGATCTAAAATTAAGATATAGATTCTAAATCTTTAAACAAAATAAATCTCTAAATAATGCAAACATTTAAATATTGATTTTCTACCTTTTGTGTGAACCAGATGAATTGTATTTGGGTCACGCATCGACGGACAAGAGCATTTGTCATTGTAGTGCCATTATTTTTCTTTTAGAATTTTCTACGTTTCACTCCGGTTCTTTCTTTTTATACTTCCTCCTTTACTTTCTTTCGTTTTTCGTTCTGCCTTTTTTTTGGTTTGAAAAATGATAATATCTTGCAGCGTTCGGTAGTGATAAAGTGGTGACGTGGTTGCGAGTCCGCTTCGGATCCATCTTTTATTCTGGTGTCAAGTAGGAGCATATACGCTTTGAAATATACGAGGTGCGGAATTAACTTTATTACATACTCGCGGCACCCGCAATACCAACCCTTAACAGTTATTATTACAGCTGGAATGGGAACTCTCATTCTTGATGAAATGAAATACGAAAAAAAGAAAGAAGTGTATGTATAAAAAGAATATGAAAAAAGGAAGATGAGGAGGAAGGAAAAAGGAATTAGAGGAATATATGAAAGCAGTACGATTCACATATGAAATGGATTGCTGGCTATAAAAGACATCCATCTACGTATATTCCCTTTATATTATACTCGTATTCTCGTTAATATCATTTGACGACTTATAATTTTTTTTTTATCTGACATGAATATTTTTTTGGGGAAATAACCTCAGATGTTTTTATAAATTTAAATAAAAATTAAATTAAATCACACTTATTAATAAATAAATATTAATGTTATAATAATTAATATGGATTTTATGGATAACAAAAGAACTCTTGAAATAAATTCTTAAGTAATTATTAATGAAAATTGTGCTTTTATATAAGTAAAAAATATTGAATATAAATACTAGAATATACTGACTATTCGCTTTTACACATGAACTATAAATAATTGATACAATATACAATAGTATGCTATGATAATATGAAATGTCAGATTGAAAGTAGTGAAATGTCAGAAAAATGATTATATAACGTATCGCATTTTTCTTCCGTCCAAGATGATCCGATTAGATGCGGAACTGTGATTGGAAAACGTGGATTGGAGGAAATTGCCTGTTCGAGGAAAGTTCTAATAAATACCATGGTAATATATAACTACGGTAACTCTTTCTACGTGCATGTGTGTATATATATGAATGACCCGAAAGCAAAGCTCAGGTTTTAGATGGAAAATATATATATATATAAATTTACTTTTTTTTTGAACGGGTCGTGCCACTAATCCTGTATTATGTGAGCGCGCCCCGGTGGGGGTATTAGCCCTTTGACCCCGACCACAAGCCCCCCGTTTAACCCTTTAGACGTCGCGACGCGTGTTAAGCCGGTGATGTATGGCCGGCGACCATTTGCATACCGATGCAGAAAAGCATCGATAAAATGGTGCGGCTATTTAAATATTTCCAGGGCCGTCGCCGTTGGGGGTGATTGAGAGGAGGCGGAGGAGGAAATCATTTTGTGCGTCCTCTGTAAACGGTTCCGAGGCTAAAATATGGCAAGCAATTCGAACGGGCGGGCGGCCGAATTCGGATGCGTGGCATTTGAATGAAAGCGCCGTTTGTATGCTGACACGGGCGTCGCGACGCTTTATCCCGACGGAACGGCACCCCTCTAATAATCTCGCACGCATTAAATAATAATGACAAATAATAAGCGAAAAAAATACACATGGAAGAAGACGAAGACGAAGAAGAGGAGGACAGGCAACAATCAAATTTCATTTTCCGAGTAATTTCCCACTTGAATGGCATTACCAAAAATAGCTTGTCGCGGACAATAATTGATTCTGTCGTTCGGTATAGGGGTGAACACTCAATGTCTCTACAATTAATAAAATTGTATTTCAACTCACTACTCAGACCGTCCGAATTTACACTTTATTTTGAATTTACCGCCGTTTTAAAGACTTCCTTTATTTCCATAGATTAGAGCAGGGTTTCCCAATTTTTTCCTGCAACAAACACTTCACAAATTCTAAAATTTTCACGGAACACCTTGTTTATTTTGTAGGATAGATAATATCATATAATGAACAAATTTAAAAATCATTCATTATTTTTTTAGTCGGAAAACCGACGTTTCTTTTTTGATACAAATTATTAATATTGGAGAATTTTCATATCAGAGCAATTGTTGTACTAAATTTACTATATTTCAATTAGAAAAGTCCCTATTAACTCACATCAATTAATTTTCTTTGGTTCGCCTATAGTTCATATCGGATTTGCACTAATATACAGTAAAACCTGCTTCTATGCGGTAGATAGGAACCGCATAAAAGAAATCGCACAAAAAAACTATTCGAAATTTTCATAAATTCTTACATATTATAACTTTGCATAATATATTTCAGAAGCCGCACTTAAAAAATACTTCAAACATTTACATAAGATGCATCCAATCAAAATAAATAATTAAATTACACAATTTTCAAAATGCACATAAATAATTCACTGCTACTGCTTCGTGATGAATTGGTTCAAAATCGGATAACAGAATCGTCTGAGCAGTACGTTCGAATTTCATATACCGCATAAAAAAAATCGCATAAAATGGACCGCACAAAAACAGGTTCTACTGTATTACAATATACAGTGGAACCTCGCTTAACGAGTTTAATCCATTCCAAAATTTCCCGATTATTACTCGTATTGTGAAACATATTCAAAAATACACATAAGTTCTAAAAATGATGTAGCAGGCGCGCAATCCGGACTTCTCTTCTTATCGTCACTCGTTATGCAAAACGTCACTCGTTAAGCGAGGTTCCACTGTATTTAAATAAATAAATAAAAAAACTGTTAAATTCAATTAATTTCCATATACAATACAATTTAATTGTACCTGAAATAAATTCAGTGTACATTCTGTATGTGTCAGTGTTAATTAATGAGATTTTGTGTAAATTGAATTCGATTACATTAATTTAAATCTAAATAATTCCTTTGCTAAAATTCTTATTATTTGAAATGGGTCGATCCACACAGCGAGAACATGTTTTATTCAATGGCTAGGCCATTTAGTTTATTCTTCTTTTGGAATATATGTGGCTGAGAATAAAAGGAAAAAGGCATTACTTTCTCAATAAAGAACCAAACAAAAAAATATAAAACGAAATAATGGAGAAAGTTCTGAAAAGATGAAAGTAGTTCGGCTATTTTATTGTCATTTGAATCTTTATTTATTTGTTTTCTTACTAATACTGAAATCTAACTCATGTTAACTAAAATGTTATATAATTTTATTTATATTTAGTACAATAATTTTATCAAACATACTTATTGGGAAGAATATAAAAGAAGAGAATACAAGTCGTGATTACTTTCTCCATAAATCAGATTAATATATAAAGTAAAACGAAGAGAAATGTCTTCTTTTTTTGTTGCCTTACTTTAAAATCAGTTTGTTAGCGGTTACCTTTAAGTTAACATGTCATGTTTGGTATCATTTTGAAGCTCTGTTGGTAATATTTCTGTTTTGACAATTTTATTTGCCCATAATTATACATTTTATGCTGTTTTTACTTATAAAAGATAGAAATCAAAAGAAGTTAATCAGACCATCTACGATATTTATTGTTTTTAAATTAATATTTGCTTTGCAACAGTTGACTTTAATTTCAAAGATTTTTTTCAATTAATATTCGTAATAAATTTGGGAAATTATTAATAGATTTTAATTAGTCCATTATACTCCCTACGTATCCAAAATAAAATAATTACCCTATTAACACAACAAATTATGTTTCATCTTAATTAATACTTTAAATTATAACTTCGGGTCGGTTAGGTTTTTTCTTCTTCTTCTGTTGTACAATTTAAATTGGCTGCCGCAGAGTTCGCCGCAGTCTAGTTAGAAACTTTTATTTCAGAATGGCGTGATAAATAATGTGAGAATGAAATTACTCTAGTGTTTTTCGAATGTACATTGTGTAAGTATAATTAAGAAAGTAAGACGCACGTTTGCAAGAAACTTCTGGTCTGCGCCCTATTAATATTTGATGTTCGTTAAAGCTTTTTATTTATTTATTTTAAATTCGGTACCGATGCTCAACTTGATAATTATATTTTGTTTTGAAAAAAGTTTATTTTGGTGGATGCGCGGGGTTTAATGATAGTAGTAGCTTAAACTAAATCATTTATTATGTAATTATTATAAAAATATATATTTTAATCATTAATTATTGAATTAAATTAAATTTTTGTTGTATTTTGGACCAATACAAAATTATGAATAATAATGAAAAGAAAAGAATTTCCACACAAAAATAAACATTAAAGTAATTACATAATTATATTTTATTTAAATACAATTTAATCAATATAAATAAATCAAATGTAAATTGAAATGCTTTTATGTTTATGGTTTTCTCTTACTGATTTAATTTCTTTACATTTTTCTATCAGATTAGTGAGTAATAATATGATTTCACTTATTTTCTTAATAATATTTTTTATTAATAAAAATCTAAAACTGAAGGAATTCTACAAAATATTTTGAAAAAGATACACGTATATTAAGAAAAAATGACTAAGATACCCGAAATATATATGACTTATTTGAAAGTAATGAGAATTGCATAAAGAATTTTTGGAAATGGTTTTTTTTAATGCCCATAAGAATAGATATGGAAATAGCGCATTATTGGCATGGCTTCGTTATTTTTAGTACACGATACACCAATACTTTATGTTTATCTTAAGGGTGCGGTTTTCTGGAATCGATTTACATGTAAATCCCACAAGCAATTGCAATGAATAACTTGTTGGTTGCATTTTGTACTAAAACAAAGAGTATTAGAACACTAAATATTTCTTTATGTAACCATTTTCGTTGTATGAATATATTTTGTTATATATTTTTTAATAAGAGATACTATTATTATTTATAAGTGAATGCTTTCCACTTAAATTATTTAATTAGGTATATGTGCATGAAAGTTATATATTTTTATTGTAATAGTTCTAACGCTAGATTTTTTTTAAAGTGAAATCTTTATAAAATGTATTATATTACTTGATGCTTTGTAGTTAATATTAATTTCTTTAATTTGCTGTATCTAACTTTTTTTTCTTTTCATTTTGACTCAGGAGGAAGGTGCGATGATGGAAAATCCTAGGCCGACAGCGTTTTGTAGTATGTACACAATAACAATTTATGGTTTGGCTTTCTCAATTTCAGGCATGAAAATCCAACGTTTTTCTTACAAAATCTTTGCGTGTTTATCCCGTTCCTCGCAGGAATAATTTATAGAATATCTGTTGCATACAACATTCCTTCCTACTCGGTTGAATGAATGGAATTAGGTGCAAACCGTTCATCCTATCAGTGTTCAGGATTTTGTATTAATAAATGCACGACGTCGGTGTTTTCCCTTCTGTGTGTTTTTCGCGGGTCGGGTGTATTCCCCTGACGTCGTTTAATTGTTCAATTCTGTTTGTTGAACGTGCTTTCGGGACACGTAGCAGGATTAAAGCGCGCACAGAGATAAGTTCTACGGCAAAGTGCGCGCATCCAGGATACGCGCGATCTGCAACGGAAAACGTTCCCAGGACGACGCGTTGTATAATCCTAAAGTCCTTGCAAATGCAACCGATTGCATTCTCCCATGGCGGACACAAATTTTTGCTTAAATGCCAACGTGAGTGCAGGCAGAAGGCTGCAGGATCCCAGCATTATCCTCGACCCAATTGTGCACGTGGATTATCAACTATGCCGCAGCGTTGACCCTAATAATAATTAAAATAAAAATAAACATCTTTCATATTCTTGAACAATCATCATTAATGCTGTATCTTTACATAACATATCCGGCAGTATTTAAACCGGACTAAACGAGGTTCATCTTTATTTATTAGTGATTTTGTTTTAGAATTCATCGATATTTTTGTATTTCCATTTTTAATTTATATTACTTTTTCAAATTGCAAATACTTAGATCACTGTGTTAAATATTTGGTGAATGCGCCGAGTATTGTATATTACATTCTATGTTAAGTATTATTTTTAAATAAAAAGACAGGAAAAACAAAAATACATTGATTTTAAACTCTCTGAAATTAAATATAAAATCTTCTTTATATTAACTATAAATTGAAAATTAAAATCAGATTAGGGTGTTGATTAATATGTTTTAATTAAATAATTCTGTTAGTTTTTAAGGAAATATATTTGAGTATAACGAGAATAACAGAACATGCGTTTATCGATTAGAAACAGCTTCAAACATTGGCTCAAACTAATATATAAGCACGTAGCATCTATAGGAGAACTTAAGACTCAAAAGTTTGCGTTAGTTAGATGAGATTACTTATATTAATTAACTCAAAACAATAAACACACCCAATTATTTTATGGAAAAGATATTATGTTGTATCTTATATCTTATTTTAAGTTACTAATATTCAAGTATTAGAAAAACTAATCAATTAAACTTCTGATAAAACTACAAACTTTAACAATCATTTTATTTTATCTGTTTTTTTTTTGTTTGTTATTTAGAATTTCAATATTTTAGGAATAAATAAACTTAAGAAAAACATAAAATAATCAACGTTGTTTAAAGTTAGCATATAAAAAATACATAATTGAATCAATTTGACATTTTATATTTACAAATTAATTCTATATTATTTGATAATAATTTTATAAAATTAGGTAGAAATTGTTATTACCTATTAAAAATATATTTGACATTTGATTAATTAACAGAAAATATAAAATAATTAATTTTCATTAAAACTTTTACATAGTCTTTTTTAATTATATGGATTTTATTATTATAAAAATGAAACTTATAATTAAAAACAGTGGTTTTATAAAAAGAAGTATACAATTTTATTTTCGATTAAAACCATGTTGGAAGTTTACAGAAATGTAGAAGAATGTTAGTACTGATATTTTCCTTAAACGAAGCGTATAATTTCGACGCTTCGGGCTTAACGCACGCACGAACCGCGTAAACAATACACCGGATGCGTGATACGAATCTGAAAAAGCCACTTTCTATTTCGTTCAGCTATCTTAATTCTTATCAAGCCAACCATTTTTATTTCTCTGCAAGTCTGTTCTTCTCCTCCGGGACGGCATGTATTTCCAGTTACAATTCTTGCAACGACTGAAGACACTCCGTTCCAAACACTGAACTGTCAAGTTTGAAAGATACACTCGTATCTGCAACGATCGGTCTTACAGCACAGTATTCCATGTTGTTTTTAGTATACAAAGATCGATCGATTTTTTTGCAAGAAGAAATACAAGTTTTGTTTGTCTTCTAATAAATTATTCTGTCAAACGATTGATGCATCATTTCTTAGCAGATCGTGTGTATTAAATAACGTTAATAGTCAAATTATTAAAAAAAAAATTAATTTTTGAAGATTGATGAAAAATCTGCTAAAGATTCAATAATGTTACAAATATCATGAAAATAACATATTTTTTATAGTCTATCAAATGAACTAATATTACTTTTGGAACTATAGAAAAACAAAACTATGAATATTTTAAAAACCAATAAATTTAGTGCAAATACCTTTAGTGCAAATAAAAATGTTTCAATGAAAATCCAGACTAAATCATTTTAAAAAAGCAAATATTGAATAATAATAACGATCGTAACGTCAAATTTATTCGAAGAAAACACTAAATAAATGTATTTATTAATGTACAAATAAAGTAATTCCAGTTGGAAATATGCAAAATGCACTACCAAGATGACATTTAATTTAAAATACAGTGGAACCTCGCTTAACGAATTTAATCCGTTCCAAAATTTCCGGATTTTTACTCGTATAGTGAAACATATTCAAAAATACACATAAGTTTTAAAAATAATTTAGCAGGCCTGCAATCCGGGACTTCTCTTCTCATCGTCACTCGTTATGCGAAACGTCGCTTGTTAAGCGAGTCATTTTTCTTACAATTCATTTTGCTCGTTAAGCGAGGTTTCACTGTATATATTCCATATTGTTTTTGATGTATTATCTAATATTACAATATTTTTTTTAAGTTTGTTTAACATGAATCCACATTTTTTTTTTCAGTAAATATATTCCATGCATAACAAATGAAGAGCAGTAAAATTGTAAAATTTATATTAGCTGGAAGCACACAACGCACACACAGTAAATGCAAATGTTAAATAATAACAAACAGAGAGAATGCACAAAAAAAACATGAATAATGCTTGCACTTTAATAAATTGTAAATATTTGTTTTGTTGATGCATTATTTTTTGTGGATATACACAAAATTGATTCTTTTTTTATTTCACGCTTAAAATATTGTCTTAATACATTAATATATAAAATAGACGATTTTTTCAAATAATTTCTGATCTTTGGGAAAAAATAACAAATTCACTTCATTAAATACTTTATGATGCTTATTGCATATGCTACAGTATACGTGAACAGTAATACTTCGCATTGTCCGGCTTCGATCAGTCCGGTTTGAAAGTAAATTCCAAAAAATTATATACAAAATTATATTTTCAATCTTCAATAATTTTTATACGATTTTAAAGTCCTCAATTAGTCCGGTTCTTTCCGGACTATGCGGGACATTACTGTAAATGCAAATGTTAGTTAATAATAAGCAAATGCAGAGAATGAACAAAAAAAGCATGAATAATGGTTGCACATTAATAAATTGTAAATATTTGTTTTTTTGATTCATTATTTTTAGCTGATTTTTATCAAATAATTTCTGCTCTTTTCTTACTTAACTATTGGAAACAAATAACAGATTCACTTCACTAAATACTTTATGATACTTAATATACAAACAGTTTTCGTGAACAGTAATACTTCGCATTGTCCAGCTAAATTCTAAAAATATAGTGTACATAATTATATTTTCTATCTTCATTTATTTCTATGCGGTTTTAAAGTCCTCAATTAGTCCGGTTGCCAGGACTATGCGAGACATTACTGTAAATGCAAATGTTAAATAATAACAAAAAACATAGAGAACGAACACACAAAAATGAATAATGGTTGCACTTTAATAAAATGTAAATATTTGTTTTGTTGATGCATTATTTTTAGCTGATATGTACACAAAATTGATTTTTTTGTTTAATTTTGTTCGAATAACTTAACTATTAGAAAAAAATAACAAATTCACTTCACTAACTACTTTATGATGCTTAATACATATGATACAGTTTACGTGATCAGTAATACTTCGCATTGTCCGGCTTCGGTTAGTTTGGTTTGGAAGTAAATTTTAAAAATTTAGTATACAAAATAATATTTTCTATCTTCAATTATTTTTAGTTGATATACACAAAATTGATTCTTTTGTTTTGTTATTTCACTCATCAAATATAGCTTTTAATCATCATAATGTTAGTTTAATGAAATGGGATGTTTTCAGAATGAATTTTGTATATTCGTACTCACTTCTTATTCCTATGTTTAAAACATTCCGTTAGAGTCTAAAATAATTTGTTATCAAACGACAAATTGCAAATGAAATATTAAATTAGAGCACGTGCGACTGTGTGTGGTATTATTTTTTTCTCTCTCTGTAGGTTTGCGCTTTATGCTTTGAGAGTGTCCATTGAAGACCATTGAAATGAGTCAGAACAGTGATATTATTTGAAAGACAATAGTGTCAGAACTTTGTTAATTAGCAGTTGCACGGTTGGAACAAAGCGGCTGCACTATCTAAACTTAATAAATACAACTTTTCGACTATCAATCAAATTATTCCACGGCGCGAATTGCATTTGAAACGCCCGAAACAGACCTTGATTGCATTAGTCTGCCATAGGCTGACCATTGTTGCACACTGTACACACACATACCTCTCGTTAGTGGTTATTGAATTTGGGTCCGATAATTTGTGCCCTTTCGCGGCTTCATTAGTGTTCAAAAAAATATATATTCCGCACCGCATTTATTTACTCCACAGCAAAAGCGTATTTAGCTACGTTGCTTTTATATGCATTTACTTTGTGTACAAATTGAAACAAAATATAGAATAAAAATAACAATATTAACAATTCATAGTTAAAAAATTGCTATAATTGCTTGGAAATAACATTTTCTTGTACAATTAAAATATATTTTGTGCCATTATTTAATACAATTTATATTAATGAATTTTCTTTTAATTTATTCCTAACT